ACATAGACCGTGAGTCCCAGACCAGTCCCCAAATTGCGGACTATCAACCTCTAGCCCCTTAAACCCCAAACCCTACACACCTGAACCTAGAGCCTAAAAAGCGCTTCTACTTCTAAGTTATAGTTCATCCTGTGGCCGCCCTGGAGCCCTACGATCTGAGGAACGATGGAGCTTGAGTGGAATCTGCCGGTGAGGTGCGGTCGGTTCTCAGGGCTTGGATGCTGTGGGGTTTCGGGTGCTGCCGCTGCTGCAGTGGTTGCTGCCGTCATGACGACGGAGCGACGGTGACGAGTATTGACGGTATATGCAAGCTTTTCTTATGCCCAGAAGTTCGTCATCAGCTTAGTCAGCACCGATAGCCCTAATGCCACAAACAGCGAAAACGCGACAACCTAAACTGCTGAAGCCCACTCAAGACCTTATCAGAGCCGTTTCAAAATCCCGGCAAAGCCGTACAGCCACCAAGGCCACAGATCCAAAAAACCCAGGCTATCAACACCTTCGATGCCGCATCGAGCCAGTCAGCACCATCCGAAAACGATTCAAACCGCCGTAACTAAGCCTCCAACATCTGTGTTTCGAATCCGTAGGAACATGCATCAAGCGGAGGGGTGTTGAAGTTTCTGGTGCTTCCCAGGGTACAAAACGGAGATGTTTCCTTTGAGAAGATTTGATTTGGTGCTGTTTCAGTTCTGAGGCACCTGCGCCCCACTTACCTGAATCAGAGGGCCCTCTAATCAACGGGGGATGAAGGTAGATGGGGCAATCCTGGAATCAGAGTCCACCTACCTTCATCCCACCATTTTGAGGCCTCCAGTCTCACGGGAACTGGGCGAGTCCAGGTGAAGTCGAAATCCTAAAGCCCTTCCCATGCCAGGGGCGGGCCGAACTACAAAGTCCAGCTCGTGGCAGACTTCGTCTTGCCGGATTTGGTTCTCTCGACCGAGCTTGGCCCTCGCTTGACGGCTGTTTACCCAAAGGCTCCATGTACCTTTATAGTAGATACTTAGGCCTTAAAGTGGTCCCTATATAGGTACTTTAAGGCTATATGGGTACCTTGGAGCCTTAGGGTTAGTCAGCTGGTCGATGAGCGTGGCAGGGTGTCATGATTCTGTGGTTTCCAAGGTGGGTTTCAGGGTCCCTAAACACTAAACCCTAAACGGTTCTGTAAGGGGCCAAGCAGAGAAGGTTTTGGGGCATCTCAGGTCCGGGAAGCTCTTTGCAAATTAGAACTCGCCTTGCTGTCGTTCAGGGTGCAGGACTTCGACATAGACCCGCCATCAGCTTACAATTTCCATTTATTTCGGTATCCTGGCCGAGAACTTTGTTGTGATGCTGAACAAAGGGTTGGGTGCACTGGGCACACTGGGTCTTGAAGCGTAAACCCTAGACTCGAAACCCTAAAGCTTGTTGATCGGCGCCCGGTGCCTGCCTGCTGCTGGTAGGGAGTCCCCATTTTGTTTGTAAAGTTGCCCCTCTTTCCCCGACGGTCCCCGAGAGTACAGAAGGAGCCGTCAGGTTGGTCTGCGACCTGCATATCTGAAGATCCGTTGCCTACAAAGCCTACGAGACCCTTCGGAAGCCCCTTCTTCCACTATATACGCTCCTCTAATTTCAGCACCGTTGAAAGTCATGTTGAAAGCATGTACGGCCCGTTTGAGACCATGCAAAGACGGTTTTAACACCATACCGAGCCAATCTGACAGCCTGTGCATCCATTTTAGCATCATGGAAAGTCGTTCTCACATCATGAATCATGCGTTCGCCTATTTACCCATTATAGACCCTGCTGGCGTGGAGTTTGGAGCGACACCTCCCAGGTTCATCGATTTCGGCCGCATCATCGTCGGTGAGGGACTCGGCATGGTTGAGCCGGCGGGTTGTTCGAAATTACTTAAAGGATCATGGGACTTAACTAACTATACTTATAAATGCTTCTACCCCCAAGTTAGGGGACTTAGAACCTTACTAAGTCCCGTGATCCTCCAAGTAAGGTAAGTCCCAGACCCGGCCCGAAAGTCTACGAGAGACCTCCAAAGAGAAAGCTTCAGGCTGGTATTTTAGGGGCCGTGCCTCATGCCGATGGGTTTAACGTACAGCCGCCTAAATAATTGCCTATACTCTTTTGGAGGTTCCTTTCATATATGTGTATATATATATATGTATGTATGTATATGTAAGAAAGACCTTTATGTACTATTTGGCGATTGGCTTTCTGTATAGTGTGATGACTCCAGCCCAGCCTCCAGCCCTCGGCCCATTTAATTTTTAAAGATTTCAAAGAATTCAGTGCCCAGCCCCGCCAATTAATTTTTTAAAAACCTTTAAAAAATAATTCGGCCTATTTAATCCCTGCGTCTCCAAAGTATGTTTCCGCAACGACTCATGCCCGCACCTCTGTTCCCGGAAGGTGCGTTCCATTAGTTGGGGCTCTTTGGAGACAGGAAGAGTCGGAAGCGAAATCATGCACCGAGCACTCCGAAGTTAGAAAGCACAGCACGGGTTCGTTTTCTCATCTTCGGTGGCTCTCGGTACGCAAGCGGCGTTTTGCCCCGTCGTTGAACCTCATTCATCGGATCAAGTTTGTGAACTCAAAAGATCGATTGATTGGCAACATCGGATCAACAATAAGGTCCAAGAAGCTTCGAGATTCGCACTCGCATTGACCGCATCCTAGGATGGGCCAGAAACAGACTGAAAGGATCATAGGACATGAACCAGCGATTGTCCGGTAAATCCGCTAGCAATAGGATCCATGCATTACGAAGAAAGACCCGGTATGCACACTGATCACTGAGCGAAGCGACCGCAGTCGAGACATTGATATGAGCCAGTGCGTCCGCCGTCGAGGGAAAGCTCCGAGGGCCACTTCTCGGATTAGCAAGGCCAGGTCCAAGTGTTCAAAAATGTACACAATAGGACAAACAATACAAATCGCCACGATTCTTTTCAGCCACATCATACCATCCTCATCAGTAAAGGTGTGCACGAAGCGCGGGTTTTGCCCTGAGTGCCAGTTGGAATGGACAGAAACTCGGATTTTTTTAGTCCACATCGACCCGAAATGTGGCATGCCAGCTGAGAAGTCGCAGACATATGCAGCCACGTTGCGATAACGCAATGTGTCATACAAGATATGGCTCAGTACCTGAGTAGCAGAACTCTCGATTAGTACTAACAGAAAGACTCACGATCACATCATGTGTTGTACATTATATATAAATTATAAATCTCTCGATCTTGCTGACCCGGACACATGTAGTTTTGGCCGCAAAAGCCATTCTTGCTTCTGCAGCCTCGCGATCCAGCTCAGATTATCCCAAGCCCCAAAGTGCACCGAGTCTGGAGGCATGTTGTATTCAGCTGTCATCTTGCATGCTGGGCCTACCTACTGCTGCGAAGGAGACATGTGACATCTTATCTTCTAGCAGGATTATGAATAATAATTATTAACCTTGTGCGTAATTCAAATACATGCTAAATCATAGCAGGCCTGAGACTGATGGCTGTCAGCTCAACATAGCTGTGGAAAAACATCTTGCCGCTCTGAAAGATGTCGGCGGCTTGGCTCAGCTCCCTGACGAGTGCATTCTTGGTGGCAAGACGTTGGACATACCTAGTTTACCCGCGAGAGTAGAGTGACTCGTTGGGGAAGGAACAATAGCTGGATCTGTAGATCAATGGCATACAATCTATCAATGCTTAGTTGGTGGGGGGTCCTTTTCTGATTTCGGCATTATTTGTGGTCCTGCTCTAGATTTTCGAATTTCTCTTGGGGCATTATTCGTGACGGTTCGGGGTTTCAGGATTCAAGTTAGGGCTTCAAATCTGGTTTGGGGAGCTTACTTCAAATCTGGTTTGGGGAGCTTACAGGGGTTTGGTTTGGTGTCTTGCGAAGCAGCTTCCAGACTTTTACGGTCTTTCATTTTGGTTCTTGCAAGTCAACATCGCATGCACTTGAATTCATTAAGGCATTATTCTGGTAAGTAATTGCGGACCAGCGAAAAAGCAACTGCACTTTTTAATGCGGCACAGCAGGGCAGAAGCAATTATCTCAACTGTACTAGTGCAGTCTAGTACACAACCGAAATCGTGATTACCGGGCCGTAGATGCACATGTGCACATGGATACAGCAGAAGCATGTATCATATCATATCATATCATATCATATCATATATATATATATATTTATTAATGTATGCATGCATGCAGTCAGGATTCAGATAGCGGCCATAGCGCTCCATGTAACCCATCATTGCCGCCATAGCCGTCCTTGGGACGACACTCAGTCCGGGCAGTTGAGGATTCCAAATGCCACCCATGGGTCTACCCAAGTTGTGTATATATACATCCAGCAAATGCAGATTGTACAACAGTCATCGCTTTTGCACCTGTTAAGACTGCCGGGTCGTTTACACGGACAAGAGTTTCAGCATGTTCAGCTGTAGATCTAGGTTGGAAGAAGTCGAAGTCCAGGAATCGATCAAGGTATAATGGACCTATATAATGATGCATATTATAGGAGACCGGCTAAATAATTAGCGGAATAGATATACAAGGTTCAGCGCTGATTCCTTGTAAAGATCTTAAAACGAGATGAAGAGTAGCAATACATATATATATATATACTCATATTTTATATATATATACATGGTCACTGGGTATACAAACTCGTTTAATTAAACACACATACATATATATATATATATATATGTATACACTGTACTGCACAAAACATGCCGGCCTCGACATATCGTATCACGTATATTTCGGGATGTACTGTCGACTCGAGTGGTATGTCGTACGAACCTAGAATACGTGGGGACGATCAAAAGATAGTTCTAGTTATAATACGATATATATATATATAAACTCTGATACGGTGCATACATGCATGTGTGTGTAGACATGTGTGTATATATATCTTATATGTAGAGCTCATCTAAACATGATGTGGTAGGACGGACACCTTAGAACCCTGAGCATGAAGCCTTATTATTTATGCATGCATTCCCGTCCTTATCACAGACTGTGCATGTAACCGTGCCGTGCGAGGGCACATATGATCTAAGGACATTGCAAAAGTTTGGTCGGGATGCAGGGCACGCGCTGCTAGAGGAAGTCGCTTGTCTTTCCAGTTGCCTGCATCCACAGCTTTGCGAAGCTCGGATGCCAGCCACTCCAGGATGATGCGGTTGTTGTAGGCTTTTGCCGTCAGCAGAACATCACCATTTTTCTTCAGTACCTGGGCAGACAGGAATTAGGAAGCACAGGACCACGAGAAAACATGCTCTTCCAAAGAGTCACCCGAAAGCAGCCACAGCATCAAACGTCCAAGACACGAGGCCTGGAGTGAAGACAGGCTGTGAGCAGCTGATTTTTTTAGCTTTGCACCAAGCTTTGAAGTCCCGGTAGGCCAGGACTAGGCGGTCTTTGATCGCTAACTCGGGGTCGCCGAAAATTCCTTCTTCACAAAGCATGATCCTTAATGATGGGCACTAACAGTGCCTTAAGGTGTGTGATCTACAAAACCACTGCTAGGGATTTGTTTTTTGCAAACGTGTGCTCGTGGTCATGAACAATTTGTGGACCATGCTAAAACACACACACACACACAGACACACACACACACACACACACACATGCTAGACAACTACACGATCGACAATGCTTTCGTAAATCATCATATCATGGATGGCAGACTTAACAAGCACAAAAAAAATAATAGCATTGCACATACAAAAATTAACAGATCTGAGGCGTATACACTGGTCGCTGCAAATGCTGAAGAAGGGGTTCCTACCGATCTCCAAGGCCTGCGAAAGTTTCAGTTGCACTCAGTGGGTCAGACTGAGGCCGAGGGCTATACCGTTGCTCTGAGCTGAGGTTACGTACCACGTGTCCAGCACTAGTCTTGGCAGCTGTGGGGCCTATACTTTGGGTGTAAGTACAAACTTCATTGGGCAGGCGAGGGCTTGAGAGGAAGTCTGCAGGAGTGTACCCACAGGAAACTGGCATGAGTAGCGATCCAACAGTACAGACACTGTTATGCTTTGTTTGCAGTAACCCAGAGTGGTTCTAGCATCGGCAGATCAATTTCTTTGGTAGGGTTTCGTACTCAGGGACTGTATCCTGGGCAGGGCTCTAGACTTGTGTATATATACATGCATGATCATGTCTACATACACATGTATCATACTAGGTTCGGGCCTGGGTCTCTCTTGTTCATTCGCAGACAACCGCACGAAGACACGGAGATCACTGGGGGCTTGGAGTTCACTGGTAAATAAGCTTCGGTGAAGCAGCTGCCAAGTGGCAGACTGGATCCATTCGTGACATACATCAGTCCCAGGTTGATGCAATGCATCGTGCACCAACGGATAAGCCCTGGGTGGAATCCTCTGACACTCAGATAAGGACCTAGGCAGGCAGGAGTGTTATTTGACGACCACATAGGTTATCTAGAATAATAATTAAGAATAGGAAAGAGATACATTATATACTATATATATATATAGTCTTAGACCCAGATAAGTATCAATAGGGCTTATAGGTGCAGTCCAGGATCTCAGAAAGTTTTCAGGCATACGTCTGGCCAAGAACTGTGTACATGAAAACTCATGCGGTAGCCATGCATCGAAGTTGAAGTACAAGCGGTCCTGGGATTCGGGGCCATGAGCTCGGGCGTCACACGCATGGCAAACTTTCTGTGAGGTCCACACCCAAGAGGCAGAGAACCGGAAGATCTGTTTATGCCACAGTTGGTCGCCCCGGATTTCAGTAAGAGCGAAAACACTCTTGTCCCTGCAAACCCAGCCATAGAACTTGAAGGGATCGGGCATGTCATTCCCCTGGGGATCAACAGTCGGCCTTTTGCCTTCAAATAGAAGGTTGAGGCTCCAGACGATTCTCTCGAGAACCGCCGAGAGCGTGTGCGTGCCCCACAGCTTCGACTCCTCGACGGCGAAGATCAAGAAGCGGGAAGCCCTGATAGACGTGGGTCGCCACAGCGGAAGATTGATGAAGATGCCGAGGATCTTGTCCGCGTTGAAAGCAGTCGGGATCTTCGCCGCGTCTCCATAAATTCCAATTGGGATGTGGCGATCAGTGGCTGGATGCTCCAGCGCCCATGGCTGCCGGTGCTGCCGGGAGTGATGCCAGAATGTCTGGACATCTTTACTTGGAACCTGCACACCAATGATGTTCCAGAGGTAAGCGATGACAGAGTGCGGATCCAGCATTGGAAGGGTCTGCACTTCATACTTGTCATCAACCTTGATGGGCACACGCACATTGACAGTTTCCTTGGATCTGACAACATTGCATACGTTTATTGGCATAGCCTTGTCAGCACCTCGACTTCATAACGACTCTTTCAGAGACTAGATTACTAGGAGCATCGTTTCGACTTCTCGAGATGAGTTGCCAGCCCTGAAGTGACTTAGTGTAGGAATGCCCCTGCTTACGTATGAAAGCTCCCGGATCCGTGCTTTAGGCGCACGAGACCTGCCCCAGGTAACACCGAGGTCCAAACAGCACAATCATTCTAGGATCGTCAGACCTGCTAAGTCGATGCTCATGACTAGTACTGGGATCCGAGCCAGTATGAGCTATTTAACTTTTGAAAGCCATGCAGGTGCAAGAGAAGACCGATGCGGGTCATTGCTTGGAACTGCAAGCTGGGTGACATCGTGGTCTGCGGAGGCTCGGCATCTTAAGAGGTATATAGCCTGCTGCACCTAGACAGCAACCGGTAAATGGGAAACACAGGCACAGCCGGTTTGGTTGCAGGTGTAACATGATAGGCTAAAGTAATATAATAATGACATGTAGATCATAGAACTGCTGCACATCAACACAGACACAAGTACATAAGTCCGTATGTGTACCTGGGTATTTATGCACTTGCTCTCAGCTCCGGCAAATGCTGTATCGGCCATGGGTATGTGGGCCCTTTCGCAATATTTGGCGGAAGCCTTGCCCGTAATCATAGAATCCTGTGACTTGGGATAAAATCAGAGTTCAGGGTGGCTCGAACCAGCATGTTGGGGAGACTTTCAACATGATCTAGAGCCTGAGTCCCCGTCGACTAAAAAAAATGTGATCATTGAAAGGATATGAGGTCATGATTTTTGTTCAGCGATCTTCCCTTTCCTGGGCCATAAATGGTGCTGAGCCCCGAGGCACAACACAGTAATCGGTGGGAATCGAGAATCCATTTATTGTTGCATCCCTGTAGCTGATATTACATGAAGCAAGAGTATAGTAGGAATGTTTGCACACAAGACACAACATCAATATCAATATATATATATATATACTTATTAGATAGATATTAATTATCAATATATACATATATATCTACACACAGAAGTTAGTTATATAAACTAGTAGCGAGAGAATATGCCATATTTTATATACTCTTCTATATATAATAATAAATTATATATATATATATATAAGTATATATATATAATGTAATATAATACCATATCATATATATAATATTATATATGGTATAACATACATGGTGTAATACGATACAGTGTGTATATATATATATACACAATCATATAAGATCATATCTGATATAACAAGTGTTATACAATAAATGCTATATTGTATAATGAATATTAATATATCTATATATACATATATACATAATATACATACACAAAAGTATTCTACATTAGTTACATACATATATATATATATATTATTAAGCAACTCAATAGTTAATCAAATGTGCTACTGATATATATATATATATACACATCTATATAATAGATAATAATATATATATATATACATATATTATATATATATATAACCGAATATGCAGAAAGTCTGCATACATAACAGAACAAGTATAATTTATCTCTATAAATTGTTATGATTATACTAAGTATGTATGTATATAGGATATATAGACGTGACAATCAATATATGTATTATATATATATATATATATTAGAATATGTGCACATGTTCAGCGAGCGATACCTGCATGTTCATAGGGTCAGGTGTAATGGAACTTTCGGAGAACCCTTTAGCCATCATCAAGTTTTGAATTGCAGACCGGAGGCGACTGGAATGTTCAAGGCTCTCCAGAAGTTGCGCGGGTCGTTGCCTTCAGCATATGTACCCAGACGCCTTACCTCTTCATGAACTATGTCGCAGTCCTTGGATATGGCAGTTTTCACAAACCCACAATAAAGAAGGAGTGATTGGTCACAGGGCTTTCGATAGCCAGGGCGATCATGGAAGATGGTTTATCCAAGGCTCGTCGACATGTGCTTTGATGTCTCGCATCGCTTTCGCCACGGAGCTCGCCTTGGATTGGATGGCACGTATCTCGGAAGAACCCAGTTTGGGGTCCATGCTCCAATGAAGTCTTATTTAATTGAGATTAAGATAAGACTCTAGACTGATAATGTTGCCGAGAAGCTCCCGAACTGACTGATTGCAGAGCATTTTCCAGTACCCGGGACTCCGCAGGTAGCGGTAATACATCTTCACCTGCGATCAAAGCAAAGCATGATATGACGATTGAGGGAAACTGGAAGCTGCATGGGCTTATCATTCCCAGCCAGGCGCTAATCACCATGAGCAGTGCAAAAGCATCATCCATTTCAGCACGTGTCACTTCGAGGCATTTCAGGCCCGTGTCCCATGTGTAGTACACACAGGCTAGCCGGCACCGAATTTCCCCAAGGCCATTAACAACACCAGGATCTCTCAGGTGAGGAATCATAGATCCCCGCAGCTCCTGAAAGCCTAGCCTGGATCAGCTTCGATCGGCCAAATTAAGCATTCAGCAGGGCAGGTAAAGAAGCATCTGGTCAATGTGTGGCGTGGCCCCAAAATTTGACTGCTTTGCAGTCCGATGCTGGGCACATACTCGAATTGCAAAGCACATGAAGTATGTGTGTATGTATACATAGTATAGGATAGGATAGGAGTTAGAACATTACACAGTAATGCTATAAATATGCAAAGTTATATATATATATAATAAAAATAATCCTACCAAGCAGAGCCTAGAAGCATAATAAGGTTGTAGCAGTAGTAGTTATCTCATATTCCGAACGGCATCAAAGAGAGATGTTAGAGGTGTTGACATGCTGTCACAGATAACTTGGAAAGTTTCCCAAAGCAAGATTAGTACAGTCAAAAGCAGCGATCGAGCTTGCTTCATAGAAGACTATATCTCTCTGGCCCCAACCACACAAAAAAATGAAACTTTTGTACCTGCAGCACCCTCGGAATTGCAGCAGGGGTTGGCGTTCACCCCATACTGGTGCGCTTCAGGAAATTATCGAAATCCTCCTGGGCAGCTTCGACGGCAACCACAGCCGCTTGGATGGAATCCTCGTCCTGTGGCAAGCATGAGACTTGCTGTGAAAGCTAAATTGTTACACAGACTGCATCAAAACTATGGTCAGCATCTCGTTCAGCTACATCTCACAATGATCGATGTTTATGTATGTATCTCTAGAGATCTTTGCTATGCACGGATCCGAGTCTACAAGCAGGAGTGGAATCTCCAAACCCATGCTGTACATGTCTATGTGCCAGGGCACGTTTCGCACAATGTGTGTGAAGTCATTGCAGTACACTGACATCGGCCACATGTTTCGAAAGAGATGGATCGACAGCACAAGAGAGGGAGAGAGAGAGAGAGATAATAAACACAAGTCCATCTTATAGTTCACACGATGCATGGATGAGACAGTGACATAGATCATGTTAGACATATATGAGTTCAACCTGATTACAATTACAATATATATATATATATACATGTATATCTGATCTATATTGAACATCGTCTCATACATACAGTGAGAATGCAACCATCCGATTAACAATTGTAGTGTCAGATGTCGAAGGCGGGGTTTTCGTTGCACAACTCTCGAAGGTGGTTGGAGTTGCTCGTACGCGGAAGTATATGCAACTATTGCAAGCTACGAGGGCGATATGAAGGCACGGAGTCGGAATCCTGACACATCCTGAGACTTCCATCTTCTACAGTACAATTCAACGGACAGCCACAGCAGCATTCCTACAGAAACAGGCTTAAAAAATGTACCCACCTCGTGGCTGTCGATCGCCTGCTGCAACCCGTCGCGCTCGGCAACCATCCCATCGTACACCGCTTGCAGGTCGTCCTCGATGGCGTCTCGCAGTGCCTTTGTCCTGGGCAGAAAGGCATGGTACTAAGCCAGGAAATCGGGTGCACAGGGGTGAAACGACTGGATTTTCTGGTCGTGGCCCAGGGTTGAAGGGATTCAAGCTGTTGATGTCTTTGGTTAGGTTTTAGTTATATAAGCTGGGTTTAAGATGCCGTGTCGGTTGGGGATTGGAAAGGGGGTAGCCAACTCCGTCTTCGGCTGTGGGGAAGGCTTCGTTTCGAATTGGGCTGTGAAATTGATTCCTCGTAGGGGCTTTCAGTTGCTCAATACCATATACAATACAACAATAATAATATATATTATAATATGTATATATATATATATATAATATGTATATATATATATACAGACATACAATACCGTACTATATAAATTAATGCGATGGTGCCTTCCCGGAAGAGTCCTCTGCAAGAGGCAAGACCATTCTCTAGCCCCAAACCCCTCAAACATTCAACCCAAACAACACAAGACCATGTCCGGGATATGACAGAGCTCCAGCCCCCCTAAAGGTCCAGGCCCACTTCAAGCTGTGCAATTTAAGTCTATAGATCTACATATTATCTATATATAGAGTTTACAACGGTTTCTAGGATCTAGTCTCGAGGGGTTGAGATGCTTATAATTTAGCTTCTTTGGGCTTGCTCTGAGCACGAAAACCCTCCAAAGTTCTATATCTCCGGAACCCTTCGTTCTATTTACGAAGACTCGGGACATGACTACTTTCATAAGATTATCCTTCAGACTGCGGAACCTAGACCTCAAGCCGAATTGTTGCACCAATTGCCCTGAGCCCGGAACACTGCAAAGATTGCAAGTTCATGCCGATCCCTCCCCAAGCCACGAGCTAGCTGCTGCTTCGGCCGAGCAACGGGCCCAAGAAACAGGGTTACAGTATGAGATTTGGGACCCAAGATCTCTGGTTTAAAGTTCAGGGTGTTGGGTTATTTAGGCTTCATAGTACCCACTTTAGACTCTAGGCCGGGTGTATAATGCACATAGGCTCGCACATAGTCTTCTGCTAGTTTCTGGGACAAACTTGGGCCAAAGCCAAACATAACAAAGCAGCATCTCCGACGACCCTTCCGTAGGACCTGAATCCACGGCGGATTGAATATCTAGATCTCATAACCCAGAACGACCTGGGCCGTTGCACAATGACATGCATCCCAGGAACAACTTGGACACCCTGGTGAGCTTCTCGCGGCCCTTCCGGATGGTGTCGTTGACAGAAGTGAGGGCCTGGGTCATTCGTGTTGAGGAGGCACTAGCACAAAGGACGAGGATGACAGTCTAGACAGGGATGTACAAGTTTATATAGAGGCTTGCACAATATAAGCTGTATTTCAAGCCTGGGGAGGCTGAGCAGCTTCAGGATTGTGGCTGTTGTTGCAAGGCTTCTATTATTTCTAAAGTAGCTGGCACAGAAGGGCTCGGTCCTAGCTACCGATGTTGCACAGGAAGGGTTTACAAACCCTATAGATAAGGTACAAGGTTTTAGGCTAGTTATAATTAGCAAGGGATCATAATTTATAAATGTAGGATTCAGGGTTTAGGTGGAAGAGGAGACAAGCAGTGAAATAGAGAGAAACACGGAAACAGAGAGTGGATTCTGTGTCTGTGTGTGTGTGTGCGCTGAGAGAGATTAGCACAAGCAGTGAGAGCCCACGATGTGGATCGGGCATCCTAGATTCATGAAATTCATGTTCACACAGTTAGGAGGGAAAAACCTGCCCAGGAATTGTGTGCACCTCTAGAGGTATATAATCGTATATTCAACAGGAAATGAAAATATAATATAATATATGTTAAGTTAATTTAGATAAGGTAGATCTACTTTAATCATTATATTATTGTTTCTATCTTTATAGTGCCTATATAGGACAGTCTGTAGAGGTAAAACATGCTATATAGTATAGTTTCATGAACAAACAAGGAAATACAAGTAAATCAACATGTTGACACAAAAACAGTATGAGTGTATAATACTCTAATATCTTATCTTACTGTAAATCCATGGACTGTATACTAGAAAGGCAATTAATTGCTAATGTTTAATAATATGTAACAGCTAAGAATATCTCACATATATATATATATATATCTAGGAGTACCGTGGATACATGAGGTACATATGTATATATATTATATACACAGGCTTCTCACACAAGTATTTGTTCTCATCCCAACTGGAAGGGAACTCCGAATCTAGATGCGATGTGGCTTCATCTGAATGTGTTGAATCACAGGGACCCAGCACAGCGCAACACAAACTTAGATAAGGAACTCTTCAGGGAATCGGAGTGCAAAAAAAGGGAACGTCACATATCGTTGACCAATCTTGTTAGAGGTTGCTGCGTGCACATTGTCGACACAGCCGACGTAGCGTATGACACCGCCACAAAGCCACACACACTATTGCAGACAAACGCTGGGCCTTCTTGGCTTTGCTCACCTGTGCTTTCTTGGACTTCTCAGTTTCGCGCTGCTGCTCCTTCAACTGGATCTCCTGCTCGCGCTTGATTCGCTTGTCACGCTGCTCCTTCGTCTCCTTCTTGCCCTTCTTGCCCTTCTTTCCCTTCTTCTTACCCTTGCTTTTCTTCTTCTTCTTCTTCGAGCTCGACTCGGAGCTGCTGTCCTGATGCAGTGGCATAGAGGACTTTGGCACAAGTTGGGTGCTTGGGATGGTTGAACTATATCGATCAGTTTCAAGAATACTGGGCACAAGGTCCTCCTCGGAGGACGAGCTCTTCTTCTTGCTTTTCTTCTTCCCATTCTTGGGGCTTTCACTCGCCTCGGGGTCGTCAGAGTCCACAGCCTGGAAGAGCTGCGTCATGACCACATCCTCCTCACTTGTCTCCTCCTCGGAGTCCCAGATGAGGTACAGCATGAGGTCCTGTCAGAAACATGTTATGTGTTATGTGTATCTGCATTATATACATATATACACACATCATATATGCACATACATGTATATGTATATATTATAAAATACTATGTCTATATAACAGATACATACATGACATGTCTATACATACACATGTAACTGATGTGTGCATACAGTATGTATGCATGTATGTATGTATGTATGTATGTATGTATGTATATATGTATGTATTGTATGTATTGTATGTATGTATTGTATGTATGTATGTATGCAAGTATGTATGTATGTATGTATGTATGTATGTATATATATATATATATGTACTGCTGTATTTTATACAATATGTATGTGTATATATATATACACTACCATATACGTAAACACAGTGTGTATGCATATATATATATATTATATTATACACAACTGACAGACTTATCTGTCTAAATATTTATAGGTAATCCCACCGGCCGGCCTTGTTGTCGGGGTCGTCTGGGTGAGCTTTCACCTGAGTCTTCCGGGTCTCTTCGTTTGACATCTTCTGCGCGATGATCCGGTCAGCAACCTCTTCGCTCTTGTACTTCTCAACGATGGCGGCTCTCGTAGCCCAAACACGCTTGCCTTTCCTGCGCTCCGCCGAGCTCTTCTGGATGCTCATGAAAATCTCGGACTTCTTCCATTCTCCCAAGCAGCTCTCCCACTGCTCACGAAGCACCTCCAACTTGTCGTGACCTAATGCAGTATCATTGAGGCTGCGGTTTCCATTTATTCAACGGGTCTCGCACATTCAGGCCCTCCCACTTCGACGCCCCAGCCAAGAAAACGAAGCCAATCATATGGCTGTTATAATATCTAGCTTGTATGTATTTCTCCGTACCACATATATATATATATATATGATGTATGTAGACTTATGTGGATTTGTACTTGCATTCTATGCAGGCATGCATACGTACATAGCGACATACACACATATACATAGAAGCATACACACATACACACATACATACATACATACATACATACATACATACATACATATATATATATATACATACATACATACATATATATATATATATATTTATGCAGGCGTTACATTTCT